GACGCTAGTCGGCCGGGGTTGTCCATAGCCGGGACCGGTTAAGGTCCCGTGGCCGTCGACCACACTCAGCGCCCTCGCGCCACCATATACCCTGCGAAGATCCTGCTACTTCGAACGGGAAGTTTTGGCCATGCGGCAAGATGCACTCCCTGCGCCGCTCATCCCCCACCGCCCAACCGACCAAAGCTCTCATTCCCATTTTTTTTAGTTGTTTGTTGTTGGGAACTTGGGGTAACTCCAGTAGAGTAACAAAACAGAGTTATAATTGCACAATGGGGTAAGATACAGTTTGCAATTGCACCGTACCTCAGGTACCTGGCCAGAAGCTGGGGTGTATACATTGCCTGGACTGCAATTCGAAACTGTATCTTGGTTTAAAGTGCAATTATAACTCATTTTTGTGACTCCCACGTAGTTTCCCCTTTATTTGGGGTTTTTAGACTTGGCCATTTTCCAACCTTTTTAGTTTCAAAAATGCTTTTTTATTCCTCTGGTTTTTTATTTCTTCTGCTTCATTTTTGGCCTTCAGAGGCCTTCTGCTACAAGGGACGGGCTCCACCTCATGAAGAAGGATTGGAGACCTCGCTGCCCTTGAATCTGGAACCCCATTACCTTGTGTATATTGCCTTGGGCAGTGGGCCCTAATATGATTTTTGGGGGCCAAGTCCCACTAGTACAAGTTTGGTTTTGATTTTGCAGCATTTTTTATTTTATTTTTTTTTCGATTTTTTTTTTTAACATTTGGACCATTTCTCAATTTATGCGTGTCATCCTTGCGCAGGGGCCATGCTAATCTTCTCTGTATCGTTCCAATTTTTACGGATGTCCCAGGACCTTGTCCCACTAGCTCCATTGAGCTAGGTCAACGTTGGGTTTTCGACGTTGTGTGACTGTAGGCGACGAAGCAGATGCACGCCCTCACGATCATCCAGCGGCCGGCTTTTTTTTTTTTTGTGAATACATTTTATCGCATTTTTTCTTCCGACAAAATACATCCAAAAATGACGTTGTCTTGAATGCAACGCCCCCTACCCTCGCCACTTTCCATTGAAGACAGCCAGTTCAACAACTATTGGCTTCCTTTTGGAGATTTTTTTTTTTTTTTTTAATGTTATTTATTACGTTTTGATAAATTTGTGAAGTCGCGTGTACTTTGCTATTTTCGGTCGATTTTCGAAGGGCCGAATACTCGTGAACTACGGGCATTTTGGTGCAACCTTTGAAGGACCACGCATGCGTGAACTACAGGGACTAGGGCAATGCTCACTCTCTCTCTCTCTCTCTCTCTCGGTCTGTCTCTCTCTCTCTCTCTCTGTCTGTCTGTCTGTCTCTCACTCTCTCTTTCTCTCTCTCTCTCTCTCTCTCTCTCTCTCTCTCTCTCTCTCTCCCTCTCTCTCTCTCACGTGCACGCGCACATGTAGCATCGTAGCAGGTTCACACAGCCAACATTCGTTACGGAAGTGCAGATCGATATGTCCTTGTTGCGTTGCTCGTCATCGTCTTTGGAGTCTTCGTTGTCTCCAGTCAGACCACGGTACAACACACATACACACACACACACACTCTGGTGTAGGAGTGAAGGGTGGGTCGAAAGGGGCATCATTGGAAGGCTTGGGTGCTCCGACAGAACTACGTTCTTCCCCAGATACAACCGCACGGTCGTTACACTTGTATCTGGTGTACCTTCCTATCTGAATACATCTAGCTGACACCTTTCCGTGTGAATGCATCTAGAATGACGGCACGTTGTATTCAGAGAAAAAATTGGAGACTCAGATCTCACAGTTTTAGCGGTGAAGGCCGACCGCGAGCGTCTGATGGAAGCAAGGGCCTCGCCACACCTATCCCAAAAACACCGATTTGGAGAGGAAACTCATCGCCATACCAACTCTCGAAAATCGGTGTCAGAAAAAAATTCGAGAGTGGCGAAAACGTGGGTTTCAGGAGTGTTCGCGAACTGTGGTCCTTGCCCAGCCTGTAAAGTTGCCACTTTCGAGAGTGATCGAAGGCACCTCCGATTTTGGCCTGAATTTCGAGAGTGTGCCACGACGGACAACCATCTGCGGCCAGCGTTTTGTCGTGTTCGTTCGAGAGACTCTCGAACCGAGGCCTCGGTCCACTACTCACCACATGCACAAAAGACAAAAAATATGGCGGTGTATCTTTCCATGGTCTAGCAGAAGATTCATTCTCATTTTGCGCATTTGGTGAGTAGTGGAGCAAGGCCCTTGCACCGCCACACTGCACTCTCGAAAAATGTAGTTCTTTTCCGACACAGTGGAGAGCGCCCCCTTCGAGAGCGCAGTGCGGCGATGAGGCCTCTCGAACCGTTTTTCGCTATTTCCCGAGTTCGAGAGCCCTCTCGAACATTTTCCCGTTTTCGGGATAGGTATGGCAATGAGCCCTCTTGAACATTTTCCCGTTTTCGGGATAGGTATTCTCGGTTGTGGACGTCACGTATTCCACTCCAGTTGTGGAAAAAAAAAAGAAAAAGAATGAATTGTATCTTAGGCGGATTTTAATGCATTTCTGAATTTTAAATGAATTAAAAAAAAACAGTTTCAGCCGTCACACCGTTGAGCTAGGTCCACTAAACGGTGCATGAGGGACATGGTCCCCGAGGGACATTCAAAATTTTTTTGAGGAATTAAACAGTGTAGAAGGGTCCAATCTTCCAACGCCAAGGGGGCTCGTTTGACACTGCTCGGGCGCGTAAAGTCCCCGAGGCATTGTTCGTTCCACCTATCCTCGGGGATGCAGTCGGCAAAAAAAAAGTGAAAACACTCCAAAGGAAATTCCTTGGGCTCCGAGGATTCCCCCAGCCATTTTTTTCTTTTGCCCAAGGGACCTGGGCAAAAGGAATCCGCGTTTCACAGAGAGGAGCGGGCACATGGGTAGAGAGACGTTACAACCGAGAATCTGGATCGTGGCGGCACCCTATTGGCTGACGGCCTCAAACACATTTGATTTTTTTTTTTTTCTGTTCTTTTTGGCTGAAGGCCTCAAACACATTTGATTTTTTTTTTTTTCTGTTCTTTTTTCTTGTCTGACATCGTTTGAAGGAAATGTCCTCGGACGACGTCCCCGAGGACAGGTGGAACGATGGCGGGAATTTCCTTGAAAACCCCCAAGGAAACTTCCTTGGGGCCGGAGGACGGCCCAAGGAGTGTGGAAGGAGCCCCAAGGTCCCACTAGCAAAAAGGATAGGATAGAGCTCCTGAATCTGGATGTGCTTTATGCAGAGATGCAGAAAAGCAGTTCAATCTCGATTTCCTGCCCATCTCCATAACCTCGTCCTAATTCCGATCCTCTTGGCTAGTGGGACCATGCCCCAGGAGTTTGGGGAGTGCCCCTCGTTGGGCATTGCTCCACCTCACCAATGTGGAAAATGAGCATGTATTTTTCACCTGTACGTGGGAAAATACATCCCCATAGTGTTTGCCTTTCGTGTATGTGCTTGAGAAGCGCCAAAGCATGTGCGTGCACGCACACACACACACACACACACACACACACACACACACACACAGAAGGAGAGAGAGAGAGAGAGAGAGAGAGAGAGAGAGAGAGAGAGAGAGAGAGA